ACGAACAGATCAAGCATGTCCATTCCCCCTTTAAAACATCCCTCCCTTCTCTTCCCTGCTTGTGCTTTTTTTTCTCCACAGCTTATTCCCTTCTTAAACTAGTGTGCATAAAGCAGTCATTTTTTTGGAAGTTACACATTTTCGTTTCATCCCCAACTTATTAGGGCAACTAAAAGATCTCAAAGGCCAGTAGGCCACATTCAAGAATTTCTAATCCTATGTTAAAACAACAGTGATTAGAGCACCTAAAAACACTGAGCTTAACTCTTCTTTGTAAACAAAAACAGCTCAAACCTAAAAACTTTCCCCTTTAAAGCATCCCTCCCCCTTTTCCCTGCTTGTGCTTTTTTTTCTCCACAGCTTATTCCCTTCTTAAACTGGCAGTCGTATTTAGGGAGTTAGAAATCTTTTGTTTATCCTCAAAAGTAGTTGGTTTTCAAAATTGAATGTATTCAGTCTCGCTCTTCTAGGGCTAAAGACTAATCCTGCAATACTAAAAAGCCTCTCACAGGCTGCTGATGCTGGAAGGGGTGTGTTTAACTTAACAGACAACTTGCACACAGCTGGAAAAGACTTGAGCAAGTCCATGTTATCTGCTGAACAGGACAGGTATGCATCTAGCTGTTTGGCGCTGTCTTGTGCCTTCGAACCCTGCATGCCAGAAAAGAAGTCGTCTTCATCAGATGAGCTGGACCTGTTGACCTCACCGGACTGCAACGAGGGGTCTTCAATGCGTCGCTTGATATATAGTCCATTCCTGAAATATAAGAGTGTGTTATAAACAATAATAATAGTTTCAACCCATCATGACAGGAACCACAGATTTGACACAATGACATTGTCAGTAAGAGAATGATTTTAATGGAAATAATAATAATCCTAAGGAAAACAATAGGGCCTTCGCCTTTTCAAGGCTTGGGCCCTAATGATGACTTTATACTTCAAATAATTCCCTTAAACAAAAAGCCTTTTGCAGCATTTACAGCCTAGCAGACCTTAGACAGGAAGGCTTGGCTGCCATACTACTAGGCTAAAGAGGAAGGCTCCCATACCACATCATTTCTTACTCTAACACCACAATGCCCTGTTTACAGGTATGTTTGCTATATTTTCTATGTAGGACAAGCTCATGTGTTTCCATGAAAAAAAGAGAAAATTTAAAGTAATCCCAAACTTATTACTTTGTCACACATAGTCACACATACCGTACTGAGCGGTACGGTATGTGTGACTCATGATTACAAATTGGTAAAATACACACATAATGCACCCATACACTATTATTTCTTACCTATTTTAATTGTCTCATCTTCCTGTGTCCAATTTGTCTTGAATTTTGGAAGCAGAATAGCAGCAGCCACCAGCTCTTGGTCTTCCATCATAGGGCCAAAGCGATTCTCAATGCCCACCTGCAAGGCATCCACAAGCGGCTTGCAGTACTTTAGCGGTAGCTTGATCCTGTTCAGCTTGATTTTCAGGAGCTTGATGGTTGGGAGCAGCCACCCCATCTGGACATTGGTTTCAGCTTGCAAAATGTTAGTTGCTTGGGCGACTGGAGTCATGACAGCAGCATACTCTGACAGGAATGCAAGTTCAGCTGGATTAAACCTGTGATGAAGACAAGAACATACATACAATAAGAGACAAAAAAAACAGCATTGCTACATGATCAGATCATTATCATGCAATGGATTGGTACATCATTCAATGTTAATCATTCAATTCAATGTTGTACAAGTAGACAATATGGACCAGAATTGAGTTTGACAGAAAGAGTACCATATGAAACATTTTTAAACTTACATTGGAACCTTCAAATCTGTGCAGACAACTCTCATTGTTGCCTCTCCCTTTTCTTTCACTATCCTGAGCAGTCTCTCCACAGCCATGAACACAGAGTTCCACCTTGTTGCATTCGGTCGCACAAGCTGGAGGGAGCAAGCATCTTCCACAGTTTCAGCTGCTGTTGAGGATCTTGAACACTTATTCCAAAGAGCATTGCACTTGCCAAATGTTGAGTAGTATAATTTCTTGTACGCGTCATTGGACACTGCCTTGCTGGCATCGGCAGTGGCTATTAGGTTAAGAATATGGCATGCACAACGCTGGTGCTTCGGGAGCTGAAACTCAAAACCATCATCCTCATCCAAAAGAGAAGATACATCGACAAACTCTGCCTCCTCCTCTTTGTCTGCTTCTTCTTCCTCCTCCTCTTCCTCCTGAACTAGAGCACCAGCATTGTTATTTCTATCTTCACCGAAGACTTTGAAGGCTTTAATGAAGTTGGAGCCATTGTCCGTTGTTGTTCTGACTATCTTCCCCAGAATTTCATACTTAGCATGGATATCATTAAGTGCATTTGCCAGAAGGTCGAAAGTGTGAGAGCCTCTTAATCTTTTACAGGCCAGGGCCACTGAGCACCTTTTTAAACTTTCGGGGTCCAGCCAGTGAGCCATGACCCCAATGAAACTACGCCGCCTGGCTGACCAGCAGTCAGTGGTTGTTGCGATGTGGTCAACAGTTTTCATGGCCTCAATAATCTTGATCTTCATCTGTTTTGCAGCATCATCAATCATAGATGCGAGTGTGATTCTTGTCATTATTTTGCTATTTGGCACCAGGTCTAACACAAATTCGCGGAAAGCTTCTTGCTCTACAATGTTGAAAGGCTGAAGTCCTCGGACAATATACTTCATGATTGCCTTGTCGATGGATCTCTGGGGCATCGTGGTCCAGCTACCCATTAATGTGGGCTGCTTGATGGAGGGGGAGGGAATCGCAATCTTCTTTCGCTTTGCAGATGTGAGTTCCTCGTATCTACTCAAGTGGACGTCATGCTTGCTCTGAAAAGAGACAAAAATATATATAGTTTTACCTTCAGAGAATTATACCATGAGCAACATTATAGGAGAGTGTAGTAACTGCTGTGACACTATTGATAGAAGCAAGATTAATTCAATTAAAGTCAGTTATATTATCCACCATAATTCTATATAAAAAAACTTAAGCAAGCAACCCCATAACCAAATATCCTTAATTCCTGCTGCTCTAGTACTCTCTGCCATTACTTGCAAAACCCTGTAGGCCTAACTTGATACAACCAACCATGCATCATGATTCATGAGAAATGGGAGTGCGTGAAGACCACTTGAGATGCAGACTAGTTGAGATGCTTTGTTGGTTGTCAGCACTTTGGTTTCTTTACCAAAAAGTTTATTTTGACTAATAGTCTATTTTTTCTACCAAATACAATTGAATAAAATTAACAGCTAGCTAACAACAACTTGCTTTGCACTTTTTTTCTGTTTTCGCCTCACTCCAGTCTAAACTAGGCTAAATTATTTTAATTCTACACATTGTCATATAAATAACCTGAAAATACTGTAGTTCATTAAGGTTAAATCTTGCTAACCACTCTTACTAAAAAAAAAGGGATAAGCACACTTATATTCTCACTTTAAGAGGTTTTCTGAGTAAGTTATTTGTTTGTAACACTTTACGATATGGTTTGATTTGTTAGCATTACATTAGTTAATGTATTAGGCTAATAACTAACATGAACTAACCATGATCAATACATTTTGTTACTGTATTTATTAATCTTTGTTAATCTTAGTTAATAAAAATACAGCTGTTCATTGTTTGTTCATGTTACTTCACAGTGCATTAACTATGTTAACAAATAGAGCAATTTGAGAGCAAGACATTGTTTTAAAACGGTGAGTGCGCACGCGTGGCCGGGTGTCTGTCTCTCTCTCTCTCTCTGCTCGTTTCTATATGCGCCGTCAAGCGCAACAGTCATTCACTCTATTCTACATCACTCACCAGTCACCACCGATCAAATAAGGCGCTTTGGCGGGATAAAAATTTGCTTTGGCGACCGCCAAAAAAATGTCAATACAGGAAAACCCCTGCATTAGTTATGTCAGTGTCTGTCTCAATCAATACCATTACCCTATAAAACACTATAAAATGGGCATGCGATTTAAGCAGCACGAAAGCCAAGGAGACTACGAAAGGAGAATGCTCTACTATTTATATTTGGCAAAACTAGGCTGTGTCATAATAAAATAAGAGAAGATGGGTCAAAAACACCATATATTCAGCGTGACAGCCTTTATGATAGCCAGCTAACGTTAGTTAACGCTAAGTGAACACCGCATCTGTCATGAACCGCGGGTAGCTAGTTAGCTAGGGCTTATTGATAGCTCAAGCTAGTGTGATTTGTGATTATATTTGTAACTTACCTTGATATGTTTCTTCAAATTCGATGGTAAATTTTTGAAGGCCAATATTTCGCAATTTTTCGGGAGGCAGAGTAAGCACTTCATTCTATACGAATTGTCTTTCACACCGACAAATGAGAATATGGCCTCTAAGTAGGGCCAGGGGTGGTCTCCTTCCTCACCCTCACAGCCATGATCACTCGAAGTTGAGGGTGTTGGTGTTGGTTCTTCCATCTTCGCAGCAAAAGCCAGAACGGGAGCACGCGCGGTCTTCTTGAAGTTCTTGATCGCTTGATTCGCTCAATGATGACGACAAGCCAGCTTCATCAAACCTGGTAACAGAGCCATCTACCGCTCTGGCAACGATAATGCGGGTTTGGAATGATTCGTAACATTTTTATAATTGTAACGAGTAACGATGCAGAACATAAAAAATTATCGAAATAAAAGTATTAAACTCATCGAAAATATGTACTGAAGTAAAAGTGGAAGTATGAGAAAAAAACAATACTCTAGTAGAGTACAGATACAGCCTTTTAGTACTTAAGTACAGTAGTGAATTAGTTCTACTTCGTCACTATACATCTCTGCTAATAATACTGTTTGTTTAAAGGAATTATGTGATTTGAAGTCTTTGGACTGACTTCTTGGAGATACAAGGTACAGGCGTTTAGAGAAAGTTTTTTTTCTGCCATGGAGAAGTGTTTTAAACAAAACTAAACATGGATTTGTGTTTGTATGCAAAATAAGTAGTCTGTTGTTGAGCACACCTACATGAAGGATGTGTGCATTGGAGTCTCGGTCATCTGTACCAATAAAAAAGCTAATTAGGACTTGCTTTCCATATTTCTCATTAAGTTTGGCTATGGCATCTTCTGCTGTCCAATTCATTCCTGTAGAGGAGGAGAGAGGAAAAATTGGGATACAATGTACATATGAGGTAATTAGGGTTATGCATAAAAATCGAATGAGAAGTTGTCTCCTACCGTAGGTGGTGTCCCAATCATCTGTTGCTATAGGCCACTCAAAGACATCTGGCAGCATTGTGAGGAGAGGTGTCCCACCTCTCTGTTCAATGAGGCCTGTCAGGAAAATATTAAAGTAATACAGGCTTATTTAAGCACCCAATGAATATTGAAATTGTAGTTAGTTTTTTTGTTTATTCAGAATCTCTGGATGTTTGCAGCTCATTTAAACAACTACATAGTGATTTCATAATGACATTCTCCATGGACAATGTCATGACAGGATCTTTCTGACAATTTTTGAAAATATAATATTAAGAGCCTATATAATTATACAGCCAATTGTTTTATACTCACTTTCATTGGTGCAAGACTTATAGAGAATGTTGGCTTTGGTCAGTGAACTACTGCTTCCACTCTCTTCTTTCTCTAGCACTCCTATAGAAAAATAATATAAAGTATCATTCCATTGGTTGGACAGCATAACAGACTTTAAAAATGTCAGTTTTTAATCATCATCATAGAAAGCAGCTAAACATGGTCCCAAATGAAAACCTCATGCATAATGCTTCCGTGTCTATTTTGGTTCTGTCTACCTCTCCTTCAATAAGTGGGCCAGCTGTTTCTCTAAATCTCTCACATCCTATTTGCAGTACTTGTGTTCAGATTTTGTTTTAATTAGTCCTTGGGTCTCAGCATTTCCTGTGAAAGAGCACAGATCATGTGTGTGTGATTGGATTATAGAGACTGCCTGGTGGCCATGTGGCACGAACCCCTACAGTTTCGAAACTCTGTCACTTCATCTCAGTCACTCTTTTTCTCCATCCATCTGACATGTGCAATTACATGCTTTTTTTCTCTCTTCCCATGTTATATGTAGACCTACTTTACAGACAAGTACTTGTTTCAGAAAGTCTTAAACTTGTAGCCTGTCATTCATCTAAAGCAAAATACAAAAATCTGAGAAAAGAATTCACTAAGCATTGTCTTTTTGCATGTGCTGTCTACTGTACATTGTTTTAGCAGCTGATCCACTTCAGGATAGATCACAAAAAAAAAAAAAATGCTGTCATCATTTACTCACTTTCATGTTCTAAAAAAACGGTATAAATTTATTTGTTATGTGGAACACAAAATAATGTATTTTGAAAAATTTCTCCTTCAAAATATCTTTTGTGTTCCTCTGAAGAAAGAAAGTCATACAGGTTTGAAGTTACATAAGGGTAAGTAAAAAATTGGTAACACTTTACAATAAGGTTCATTAGTTAACATTAGTTAATGTATTAACTAACATGAACTAACAATGAACAATACATTTCTTACAGTATGTATTCATCTTTGTTAATGTTTCATTCATTGTTTGATCATGTTAGTTCACAGTGCATTAACTAACGTAAACAAATACCAGAGGTGGAAAGTAACGAATTACATTTACTCGCGTTACGTAATTGAGTCGTTTTTTTTTGTGTACTTCTACTTTTTTAAGTAGTTTTTAAAATCTGTACTTTTACTTTTACTTAAGTAGCCTACGTTTTGTTTGAAGTATTGTACTTCGCTACATTTGAAATTATATCCGTTACTGAGTAAAAAATAATAATACAAGGGAGAGAAAAAAAAAATCACACTCCGGAAACTACTGCATTGATTGAAGGGCGGGAGAACAAACGCGCAAGAAAGGTGACGCAGACCCAGCTGAGCTCGAATTCTGATGAAGCGGATTATGGCCAGTAGCCCATGGAAATACTTTGTAGAAAAAAAGCGTGGTTGTCCTCGAGGATAGATATCCAATTTGCAAAAAATGTGGACGCAAAGTGGCTGCAAAAGGAGGATACATAGGACACCATCCCTCCTGCAGATAAAGGTATGGCCCGAACCGATTATAATTTAAGGCCGAATGACTTATGTGATGCAGAGGAAATCCCGGAATCCAGTCATGAAAATGGAATTATTTACATAACGCAGATGTCACGTAAAACATGCAAAATAATGGATGGATGAATACATGGAAAGTAGAACTGTGCAATAAATTCAATCGCAACATGGTCTGTGAATATTTAAGCACAAAAATACTGCTATGTAAATTTATAACCTATTTGTTCTGCTGAGCTGCGGTGCTTTGTCTACTACATACTCAAGTACGCGTGACGTTCATGGTGTTTTCAGCGTCTCACAAACAATTTGAGGACATGAATACATGAACATTTCCAGAGCTGCTCTGAGAGAACGCCTAATGAGCATTTTCATAATTTTATTTGAGAAAAACCATTGTCTAATACACTTTGAAACAGGTCTTCACTACAACCCGTCAAAATAAAAGTTCGGTTTTACTAGGAGAAATTCTGACAGAAATATATTACTATTGTGGCATACAATTGAACGTACTTCTCAAAATAATAATAATAACAACAATAAATATAGCTGCAAGCAGCCATTACCGGGGCCAAGCGCAAGAAGCGGCAACAGATGCCATCATGGGTGGGAGTGGCAGATCTACTGCAGCAAGGAGCAATTAAAGACATTTTAAGAGAATTTTGGGCAAATGGCTAATAATCATATATACAGTAACTTATAAAATGATTGAATGGTTTATCACTTTCGACCAATAGTTATGAAATTGATGTATTGTGACCAAAGAGAGGTGGCAATGACACATACAAAGTTTGGTGTGAAAATGTGAAGGCATTGCAGAGATAAAGCCTAAATAGTCATTTTGGCAACATGCCTCAACTTTGATGCTGTGGTATACGAAAACGGTTTCGTCTACCCTCACGAAATCCATAACTTTTAGTCGGCACGGTCTGGAGATGACACGATTAGATTTTGGTCAAAATCGGACCAACGGTCTTGGAGAAGTTCGAAAAAGAAGGTTTAAAAAAAAAATAAAGATGTCGGACAGGAAGTCTGTCCAAATACGTCAAACTTGGTATCTATGTTCTCGGCATGACCCAAGGAATATATTAAGACCAGTGTCATTAAAATAGGCAGATGTATTCAAAAGTTATTAGCATTTTTGGAAATGTAATTTTAACTTTTGACCAACAGGTGGCGCTGTCTCGAAATCTTTTGAGTACCTTCAAGGCAAGGTGCTGGTAACAAATTCTGAGTTTCGTAATGTTACAGTAATGTGTTCATTAAGTATAGCTAGTGTTGTAGTACTCGAGACCGGTCTCGAGACCACTTTTTGATGGTCTCGTCTCGGACTCGACCGCATTTGGTCTCAGTCTTGTCTCGGTCTCGGACATTGAGTACTCTGGATTTTTTTTCAAGACCAGACAAGACCATAACTGTGAAAATATCACTAATTTGCCAGTATATTGACTAATTTTTTTAACATCCTTGCTTTTATTGTATGTAAAACATACTGATTCAAATTCAAGCAATAACGTGACTCATTGGTCATTGCTAATTATGTATTTTTGTTACCGCTGCCTGTCACCCATCCCCGCCCCCTTTCACTCGCACTCCCAAGAAAGTGATCTGTGGTTGTCTGGGAGCGGGAGAAGATGTCTGCAAAATCTTCAGTAATACAATTCGGCTACAAAAATCATAAAGAATATATTTGCAAAACAACATCCAGAAGAAAGCATACAGCTTCTTGTAAATTCTGCAGTGCTTCGCTTTCAGAGACGGTGGTATGAAGGTAAATCAGTAGCTAAACTCGAGAGCACGTAGCTGTGAATTTGAGAACTTGTACAATAAATATTCGTACGTGTACGCGAACATTTACACTCACAGCTCCGATGTGAAAACCTGTAAAATACAAATCTGAACTTGAACGCTGAGATTTGCACTCGCAGACTATAGTCACAAACCTGTATTCTGAATCTGAAGCTGCAGACAAGCAGTCACAAATGTGTAAAATGCCATTCACAAAGATACAACGACAGACACAAACTTGTAATACAAATTTGCACTTCTTCTAACATTCAAATTCGCAGTACAACCTCAAATTGGCACTTGCAACTTCTCAAATCTGTCACTGCAAGTTCAAATTTCGCGCCTTGACATTTGCTACTCTTTTCGCGATATATGAGGTGCAAAACTGATTTGTGCACTTGTAACTCAGTGGCGGTGAGAGCGGAAGGGGGGCGGGAGCGGGGGTGTTCGAAGGAGCCGTTTTATTGGTTGGCGGCCAGGCCAATGAAATGGGACTTCTATTGTACACGATGATGTCACGAAACCCGCCTCCTCGTGGATGTTCTGAAACGCTAACATGGCTTAATGCATTAGAGTGATTTAAAAGACATAAATGATATTATCAAACTTAGTAAACACAATAATGCATACTACAAAAAAGCAGATGAGCACAGAATATGAACGCAACACGTTAAATTAAGACAGTGGTATTAAAAGACCAAACTCAGGAAACACCATAAATAAAGCATACAGAAAAGCAATTGAGCAGAAAATGAACGCAACTCGTTTAATTGTACGTTAAGCATTTTCCTCTCATAGAAAACCAAGAAAACGCTTAATAAGGCTTAATGGACCAACAGTTATATATATATATAAAAAAACAATTCGTTATACATTATTAATAAAACACAGGCAGCTGGTTTATTTGCACTGAACACAAATTTGCTTTCTTTCGTCATATTCTGTGCTCATCTGCTTTTCTGTAGTATGCATTATTAGTATGGTGTTAATATCACTAAGTTTGATAATATCATTTATGTCTTTTAAATCAGTCTAATGCATTAAGCCATGTTAGCTTTTCAGAACATCCACGAGGAGGTGGGTTTCGTGACATCATCGCGTACAATAGAAGTCCCATTTCATTGGCTAGGCGCCAACCAATAAAACGGCTCCTTCGAACACCCCCGCTCCCGCCCCCCTTCCGCTCTCGCCGCCACTGAGTTACAAGTGCACAAATCAGTTTTGCACCTCATATATCGTGAAAAGAGTAGCAAAAGTCAAGGCGCGAAATTTGAACTTGCAGTGACAGATTTGAGAAGTTGCAAGTGCCAATTTGAGGTTGTACTGCGAATTTGAATGTTAGAAGAAGTGCAAATATATTTTACATGTTTGTGACTGTCATTGTATTTCTGTGAATGGCATTTTACACATTTGTGACTACTTGTCTGCAGCTTCAGATTCAGAATACAGGTTTGTGACTATAGTCTGCGAGTGCAAATCTCAGCGTTCAAGTTCAGATTTGTATTTTACAGGTTTTCACATTGGAACTGTGAGTGTAAATGTTCACATACAAGTACGAATATTTATTGTACAAGTTCTCAAATTCACATCTACGTGCTCTCGAGTTTAGCTACTGATTTACCTTCATACGGTGCACTCTAAAAAACGATTCGTTGGCTGAACAACCATTACTTATAAAAGTTATTAGATTTAACACAAAAAATTAAGTATTCATAACTTTTCAACCTCTACTTAACATATTTAGTGTGTGTAACACAAAAATATAAGTAACTAGGTGAACT